GGTGCCAGCGGGGAAACATCCATGTGAGTGTCTATGTCGTATTCTTCTTTGGCGGATCGGATCTTGTTTGGGAATATTTGGGAATCCAACAAACAGATGATTGGCATGCAATCGGATGAAACACCGGAGCCACCCTGGACCTCCGGCGGTTTGAGGGGCTTAATCACTGACCGAAGTGAGTGAAGTGCTGAGGACCTGAGCGGTGTGAAGATTGACCACCACAAGTTGCTTCCACTTTGCGAAGCGATCAGTGAGCGCCAGACACTGTCCTTTGTGGCGCACTCAGACCGTTTGTTGAGTCATTCAGAAGGTTGCGATTGAGAACAAGGCGCCCACCCGTCCTTGCGCATCTCAAATGAAGGTTCCTGCTGGGATTGTCTAATATAATATTTTCCAGTTAAACATGTTTCCGTGCAGATCGGTTAGACGTGGCATGACTTCTATGAGACTTCTCGCAACACCGGGCTGTTCTCCGCAACATGGGACCAGGTCAGCCTCAGTGGGACGACCTTTGGGAGACTTGGCGCGTGCAGAGCGTGCAGCCAGGGACAAGATCACCTTGAAATATCAGAGATCTACAGTATCGGTGATCTTTTGGGATTCGGAGGTTGCCCTAACTGGACGGGTTGAATCTTTTTTTGGTAGTGAGCAGTGCTTTCGAAAAGCATGGTACATGTAGCTTGAGATCCTTTGGCTCGATGGCACCTAGATAGTGGCACCCAGATTTCAAGACAACAGGCATGCCGCAGGGTTTGGGTCCTGCATAGTTGTTTCAGCTTCACCTTGTTTTGGCTGCTTGGACCTGCTAGCTTTGCTCTCAGCTCTCCATGGTTCAGAGCTGTTTGAGGGAAGCCTCAGGAAACCATGTTGTTTTTTGACCCGGTGATTATATGTTCTCCAAGTGACCACGCCACAGCTGTGCTTCGCTCGCTGTGCATGGCTCGCTGAGGAAGGGTCCAGTTGGCTTTGGCTGCCAGTGCGTGACCACGCTCCTCCAGGGACATGTGCGAATCTCAAAATCATTCCTCCCATCAGCACGGCCGGACATTTTTGACGCCTGGGGACGTGCTGTTGTTCAATAGCACTAGTCACTAGATGTGGCATGCCTCGTGGTGGGCACCCTCCTACACTATGACATGAATATGAAGCTACCAACCTAACTTGAATGTTTTTGATTGTCATTTCCACCCCTAAGATAAGCTTTGTTTCTTCCAGTGATTCCGCTTTCAGCTGTGCGTCCGTTACGGGTCTGAGGTGGCAGAGTTGGACCTTAGCTGGAATCAGTGGCTAGACTGGGAGTGTTTGGGACAAACTCACAGTTTGGGTCCAAGTCTAAATAAGTTTGGACTCATGTCTCTTGCGTCTAGATAAATCCGAATTTGCAATGATTTGCCCAGCACTTCCACCAGCATGCTTGTTCGAAAGCCCCCTTGGCATGTCATTTGTTACTCTATACTTGGTTTGAAGAAGCGGAGTTGAGAGACGCACCCCAACGCCAATCATTGAACGTATTTGGAAGACGTTCCTTGGTCAAGGAACATTCACTTCTACATAGAATCAGCACTCGATCAGTGAAAGTTGTCATGGCGATCGCCATGGGATCCTGTCGATGATCCAAGGTTCTCTTCCGAACTCTTTTGCTGCCTTGGGGAGACACTGGCCAAGCGGAAGATGGTCGGCCGGCTAGTCGTTGCCCCAAGTGGGCGCTTTAGACAAATTGACATGGTGATGCACCAGCAATCAGAAGGCGTTCCCTACAGACAGGTGTCATCACAAGTACGAACTTGGTCCTGGCATTCCTCACAAGATGCTTTGTGTGTCATTGTTGCGACATGATGATTGACTCGCAGCATTTGCACCAGAGGAAACAAACGAACCGTAATGCTGCAGCATTGAACGCTGTTGCTTCCTGTTCATTTTCTGAAGCAGGAAGATTTGAATGGAGTGGAGCGTGGCAGGTGAAGAAGCTGAACATTTGCAACTGCTCTGGCGGAGGCCTTGACCGCTTGTCAACACCAGCACCTTGGTCCGATTGGAGAGGTGAACATCAGGGAGTCAGGGAGGATCATGGTGCAGAGCTCTTCAAAAGGATTCAGGCCAACCAACTAGTCTAGATTAACCCAATAGCAATGGCCTCCCCTAGTAGCGATGGCCTCAAACGCCTTCAGACGTTCTGAAGATGCCAGGTGAACTTCTATTTAGAAGAGCTACAGATGGATTCAGCTTTGACATCGCTGGATTTGTCCATGACCCGGATGGACTTCCGGTCCGCATTGATTCTAGAGGACGCGCTCCAGAATCACAAGACGCTTGGGTGAAGCATCTTGCGCAACTTTGTTCAATGTGGAAGGCATATCCGACGGCAATTCATGCACAAGCTCCAAATCAGACTGTAATCAATCATGTATCAAATATTGGAAGAAATATTGGAAGAAGCCAGTTCACTCCATCCACGCGGTGGCCTCCAAGCAATGTAGACTACCACCGCAAGGGCATAGCAAAGTGCAAGTCCCCGGGTCTGTGTGTTGGTCTCATTATTGGACGTGATAAATAAACCGCCCCGCAGAGCAGTTGGTTAGCGAGCTGGGACTAGCATGAATGAATTGCCTGACTTTCCAGCTGCAGAAATTGCTCCGTGGTACAGTAGAAACTTCACAGCATAGTGCCCGGCTTTTGCCCTGCTCCAGTTCCTTGCTCCCCCACCTTGTTTGTTCAGTTTCTGAGGAGCTTGAAGCACTTGCAGCTCTCTGACAATCCTTTAGGCCCACGTGGCTTGAGGCGTGGGAGGATTGGGCAAAGAAGGGCAACAGAAAGTCAGAAAGCACAGGGTTAAAGCGCACGAAGTCGCACGAAGCCAAACCGAGGTCCATCCTTCGATGTGTTGCCAGCGAGACGCAGCTTGGCGCAGAAGCGTGAACTTGGCAACGAGTTCAGAGATTCAGCAGACAGGAATTGAAACGTTCAAATTGAGCTATTGGGGCTTGCCGCTTGCCTGACTCCTGCCGCAGCAGGAATTGCTTACAGTTTTTTGACACTTCTGGATGCTATGGAGGGGAGGAGGGGATGCTCAAGCAAAGCCGGTCGCCAAGAGAATATTCTTAAACTGATTGAGCAGTGTTGATTTGAGTCGCTTGTGTTTTGTCAACGTATTTTGTCATTTGGGTTATGGCAACAACACGCACGCTGTTTCTGTTTGGCTCGGTTCAGCTTACAAAGCTGTAGCGACCAAGAAGCTTTCGATGAAGGAGCCATCCATCAATGACCATGAGGTCTTTAAAATGAGCTCCCAGGTTGCAAGAAATCATGGGAAGAGGGCTGATGAACATAGGGTCTTGTGCTAGTTCGATAAATTTGCACTTGCGATTGGTCTCCAACATGCCGAAGAACTTTCCACGCTAATTGCGTTGAGTATATATATATATATATTTAATACTGAAAAATATACAGCATGGCGAGTTGTTGGGCTAGGAAGGTGCTTTGTGCGGATTGGTGAGTCGGATTGTTGAGTCCTGAGGTGACTTGCAAGGTGCAGGCTCCTATAATTTGCAACTCCATCGCCCGTCACTTGGACCTGAGAACAGCGATGTTTCAAAAATGGCAGTCTTTTGGTGCATGAGCTTAAGAAAGCATAGTGGCCAAGCCTTTCTGTGCAGCAAAGAGGCTGTAGACTTGGTTTGAGATTATTATTTTCCACCTAGAATTCGGATGTGACAGGTATCATCGGTCTTTGCTGCGAATGCTTTACAAAGCAGCTGAACGATTCCACTTGTCACCCTCTGAAGTCTTCATTGCCGCTTGGAAACTGAGAGTTGTAAGCCTTTCCGAATCAAACCAACGAGTGGTTCTCCTCTCAGTGCAGTTGACGGCATATAGTGGGCTGTCCCAGACTACTTGGAGATCTTGAAGAGATACATGCACATGACATGCCCCCCGTTTGAATCCAACATATGTATATTTATATATACATTTTTGTTGTTGCATTGTTCATTAATTGAACGGATGCCTGGTGAACGAACCTCCAAGGTCAACTCTGAGGGACCGTTTGCCCATGGGACCAAGAAGAAAGATGGCCACCGGGATGGAAAAAAGGCCCTCAGTGCTCGGGTGAACGCTGGGGACCGGGGAAAGCCGCTGGGGACCGGCGCGAAAGCGGAAAGCCGGGATATGCCGGGATGGGGTGAAAACACCGCTGGGGAAGCGGCTGGTTGAAAGGGATGCTGGTCATGGATGATCATGATCATGCCGCTTGGAGACTCTGTTGGACGCGTTTTGGTGAGCTTATTTTGGTCTGTGGTGGAGTGGTGTTTGAAGGTTTGGACGTGAAAAGCTCGAGTCAACAAACATGTCCCCAACACCAATGAAAGACGCAGAAGAGATGGGTCATCCATGCTCATACCAAAGACGGAGTTCAGACGCCACTTGACAGCCACTTCGACCTCAGACTTTCATGTTTGAAACAGTGCAGTAGGTGAGATGCAAGTGGAACAGAACTGCAGCCTTCACGTCTTAAGCAGCCTTCACGACGTCAGTCTTGGGCTTTTTGTGAAGCGCCTGAGACTCCTGATGTTTGATGGGTCATCCGCTCTCCGCTGAGCTGAGGCACATGGGAGGTGCCACGCGAAGGGGAGGTATCGTTGTCCTTCAATTTGGATGCTCAGAAAAAGTATGAAAAAGTTATAGTTATATCATCACTAAGATTCAGATGGACCTTCCATCACTTTAGAGATTTTTAGTGAATTTGCGTGTATTTGCCTGATAGCCTACTAGCCCTGCCCTGCACGAAACGTTTGTCTTGAGTCTTTTCATTTGTGCACACACGAGCCTGGACCGACGACTTGCGAGACACCATTTTTCTGGGCCACATGCTTTTTTTGGAGTCCCACATCCGTTATGGCAACTAAGGAAAGATGTTTGGAATCATCCATTTTCAAAGGTTTGGAGCGAGATTTTGACACGGTCATCAAACGCGCCTGGGCGAAGCTGGCCCAAAGTTGTGATCGAAGCGACCTCCTGGAAGGGTGGCAGTTCCATCATGCAGTGGATACTGCACGTGGTTCAGTTCACGTGTTTGCTTGATGCGCAGGCTGCATGCCTTTTTTGAACATAAACCTTGGTAGCAGAAAGCTGTCAGAGATGCGGTCGAATCAGCCACCCAGCAAGCAGAAGCCGTTTCAAACTTAGAGCCGTGATGCTATACTATTGCATGTCATAATTTTTGCACATATAGTTTTATAGACAAGAATCTTATATATAGATATCATGGGCCATGGGTGTCGTCTGGTTTCGTTCTTTGGGGTGCCTGTTTGAGAATGTCTTTGCACATCTGAATCTGGTTCTCGAGTTGCTTTCGCTTGCAGACCGAGACCTCGTTCAACGAGGCTTCTACCAGGTCACGCGGCACCAGCTTGATGAGAAGAAGGCATGCCCTGCCATGCCCGGGACGAGCTGCCGGACGAGTCTAGAGTCTAGTCATGATCTTGTTTGGAATCAGGTTGACTAAACCTAGAGTCCTTCAAGCAGCCAAAGGGCCTAACCACTGCAAAGCATTTTGATTGCTGCTGGAGTTTCCCACTTAAATAATTGAACCCGAATCCATCGCAATCCAGAGCATCATTTGTCCGACATGTTCGATTGGGGAGGCCATCCCTGTCTTTGGGCGCTGGTACGACTTGGATGGCTTCTTCCACTCTCAGACCGTTCTACTGAAGGCCACAGGGGCAGGGACGACGGGGTGGGGAAGCTGGGTACGCCAGACTGGCTGGATTGCCTATGTATGACTGGTGGCAGAGCATGGAAGAGCACGATTGCTTTTTGGACAATACCACCCCAAAAAAGCAGCTATAGTATCAGCAGAACAGGGTAGTTGCATGCAGTTGCATGTGGTGACTACCTTCCGACATCTTCCAACAGCAATTTAAGGTCACACCACTTGGAATGATCTGACAGATCCTCTCCAGCTTGATCAGCAATCGCATGCGTTAAGGTTATGACATAAAGCTGCCTGCTATGTCTGAAAAACCTTAAAATAACTATTTTAGGAAAGTAATATGAATAGCATAGAAAAAATAGGAACTGAAAATAGGAGAACAAAAAAGGACACAAAGAGGATGAGTCTCAAAAATAGAAAAAGAACAGAGCTGGATTTAGAAATAGGAAAGGAAAAACAGGAAAAGAATGGCAGCACTCTAGGACAGGAACATGAAATGGATACGAAGAGCAAATGACTGGAAGCAACATACTGGAAGCAAATTTCCGTTCATTTTCCTATAAAAACTGATTAGTTCATTTCATGTTCCTTTAAAACATACTTTATTTTCACTTTTATTTTCCTTTAAAAAATTATTAACTCCGTTCATTCTCAATTAAAAAAATATAGATTCCTTTAATTTCCCTTTAAATTCCTTTAAAAATAATAAATTCCTTTATGTCTATATTTTGTTTATTTATTTATTACTTTATTCCTATTTTTTTACTATGTTTTTGGGGTGGCTATTTTTTAATTAAAAAATATATATAAAAATAGAACAAAAATAGGAATTGAAAATAGGAAAAACATAGGACGATTTTCGACCCCCCCAAAAAAAAAAGAAAAAAAAAAGGACAATTTTCGCCGCCCCCCCCCAAAATAGCAAAAAAATAGGAATAAAAACAAATTAAATAGACAATGAAATGAATTTATTGTTTTAACGTAAAATTACATAAATTTATCATCTTTAATTGAACATGAAAGGAATTAATCTTGTTTAAAGGAAAATGAAAGGAATTTATATGTTTAAAGGGAAATTAAAAGAATAACGTTTAAAAGGACAATTGAAGGAAGTTTTAATTGTTTAAAGGAACATGAAAGGAAGTAATCAATGTTTAAAGGAAAATTTAAAATGAAAGGACATAATTAGATCTAATCTAATCTAATCATTCCAATCGAATGCCGGCCTAACTGCATTGCCGCACTGCTATTAAATATCCAGTTTCATTCACTTGTGCCTGACCATGCGTCTCATCGGAATGAGCCACCTGCCTTCCGGTAAATCTGACATATTCGATCCTATTTGTTTCCTATGTCATGTTTGTTCTTGTTTTCTGCCCTATTTTATTCCTATTTTGGGGTCCTATTTTATTCCTATTTATTTCCTATATTTCCTAAAAATAGATATGTTTGAAAACTCCAGAGATAGCAACAGCTTTTTTTCATAACGTTAAGGCTTATAGACCCAATTCAGCACGTAGGTCCTTCGTATTAAGTGTGATGTGGCTGGACAAGTCTAAACCTTCAAAGTCATTTCTTTCCATGGACGTCTCATGAGATCACAAGGCCTTGAGCTCCGACTTTGTCTTGTCTCTAGCAGACTTGCGAGTACTGGCCGCGCCCACTGGCAGCAAAAGCTAGGAAGTGAGTCGCAGAATGTTGCGAGTGCAGCTTGATAAGCAGATAAGCATCAGATTTCTTATTGATTGCTTGAGGAACCTCAGGACAGCTGCCAACTGATCCCACCAAGCAAAGCAATCCAAGGACATCACAGCTTGCAAAGCCCAAGTGCATCATCAATCTGCTTCCCTCAGTGCTGCGGGAGCCTGGATGGATGCTTGGAACATCTTGGAACTGGATCAACTCCGGGATTCATTAAGCTAAATTTAACAAAGACAACCTTTTTTTAAGTTACTAATAGCGGTGGCCTACAACCTAATAGCGATTCAAGGTCTGACTTGGAAAATCTTAGACTTCCAACCCTTAAGGTATCTTAAGGTAAGCATTCACTTCCCTTACTTCGTCAGGTTCAATCCATAAGGATTTGACTTCCAATCCGGTTCGTTAAGACTTAAGACGTTGGATCCTTCAAGGTGGCATCGAAAGGAAGCCTTGGGTCGCCTTGGTCGTTGTGTTCTTCCGCGTTGAATGCCAGGGCGTTCTAGCGCCATGAGGTACTTTATTGCGCAGGGGATGTACAGTACGACCTCTGAGTGTGTGACCTGTCGCATGCAGCTGAGAGAGTCCGGGAACCCGGTGGACGCGCCATCTCGTCACCGGTCGGTCACCGGAGCCTGCAGCGCGTTTTCGTACGTTTTCGCGTTGCTGAAGTGGTCCCAAGATCTTGGGACTGTTCACCCGTCCCTCACGGCTTTCCTCAGCATCCAGAAGTGGAACTGCGAGATATGGTTCCATTTGCGAATCACAGGCGTTGTGTCGCTGAGGCTCATCAACTTTTCCACTGGAAATCCCACTGGGCACTACAAGCTGGAATTGGAACCTTTGTCTTCAGCTGAACATCATCATCGCCAGCGACCCGCCTGAACTGGACAGACAGTCTCCCGTGCCTCGACTGAGGAGAACCGCGCAGATTTGGCAGTGGCTGAGATGCTGAGATTGTTGGACAAATGGGAAGGCTGGGACTGCATTTGGAACTTTGGGGCGTCCACTAGACTATCTTGGTTCGTTGTTGGAAGGAGCCTGAGCTTTTTGGGTCGCTTCAGAACAGCCCAGTAGTCCAACCAGTCCTGATGCCATGAAGTCTGAAAGCTTCTATCCAGTATCATGTGGAGTGCCAAGCTGCCCATCAAGGTCACAACCCAAAAGGTGTTTGACACTTTCGCCTTGCGCCGCTTGTTTCGCCTTGTGCCGCTTGTTTCGCCTTGTTTTGCCAGTCTTGATGGATAAGAAGCAACCTGGATGAAATTATATAGTTCGGGGCATTCGGATTGTGTTGATTCGTGGCATTGGCATTGGCTGCAAGATCGGATGCGTGAGAGTCAGGGGCCAGGAAGTCGGGGTTTGCACGCCAGCCTGGGGCGTATAAGGTGGTTCTTCCTAATTAATGGCCATGGCCTCCAACCTGGTAGCGATGGCCTCCAACTACCCTTCCATGCCCTTCAATTTCCCTCCGCCATTTGTTCGTCCGGTTGCAACGTTGAGGTTCGACCGGCCTGACATCTCAGCGACTCAGAACAGATCGCATGCGCGAAATATTTTCTACCAGGGCAAGCCAGTACAGCTACTCGGCACAAAGGCACTGCATTTCAAAAGGAATATGTTTTGGCTGGAGCATGCACAGGTATTCACCAGCTGAGGAACACCTTCGCTGACTGGAAGTTGCCAAGCCATGATAAGCTTGAGCAGCTGGGCATATTTTGACAACTATTTTGTGGAATGGCGGTGAGCCAATCAGTGTGACACACACACACACATTGACACACCTTGCATGTGCGATTGTAAAGCCAGGAGTGACCAATCTGCATGTGTAGAGGTAGAATTAGGATGAATTAGGTGCGTGTTTGTTTGTTTGTTTGTATCCATTCCATGGATGCATCCATGTCTGTCTGTCTGTCTGTTTGTCTGTCTGCCTGCGCGTAATGCAATGTAATGTAATGTAATGTACTTATTTAATGTAATGTAATGTAATCACGAAAGCCAGCCGATAGGCTAGGCTGGAGTTGGGTTGGGCGAGCAAAGTGAGTATAGGGGGTGTGGTGGGGGTTGGTCGCACAGCGGCCAATTTCGGAGGGTGAACCCAGAGCCTGGTGGGGGATAGCGAAGAAAAGTATTTGCAGTTTGGGAGTTGTTTTTGGGGTGTTATGATGCAGGTAATGTAATTGACGGCCATTACTGCATCATTAGCATCATGAGGGGCTAGGAGGCAATCTAAACTGTCTTCTGCCAGGCGTGGGAGTTCATGTCGATGATCGGAGGCATGCGTCTTGTTGAATTAGTGTTCGAGCAGGGGTGAAGGGAGAGGTGTGTGTCCTTTAAGACACTGTGTGATCTGTGAGGGCAGGAGAGGGAACAGAATGCTGTGGGGAAGGTTGAAGGCAGGCATAGCGGAGGAGGACGTGGTAGGAAAAGAGGGCTTCCAAGAAATCTTGGAGTTGCTTGGGAGCGCCTGCTTTCAATAGTGAAGATGCTGTCAACCATACGCAAAAGGGCACCCCAGATGGGGTGGGAGGTCATGTGGAAGACGCGCGTAGCGGAGGAGGACGTGGTTGGCAAACATTGAATTTCTGGGGGGCGCCTTTTTAATAATGAAGACGCCCCCTAACCATACGCAAAAGGGCACCCCATATGGGGTGCGAGGTCATGCAATGATGAGAGAAAAGAAACCAGCGGGCAAGCTTTGAATTGCTTGGGGGGGGGGATTTTTAACGGTGAAGAGGCCTAGTAGCCAGACTCAAAAGGACACCCCATATGGGGTTGGAGTTCATGTGGATGAGACAGGCATAGCGGAGGAGGACGTGATACGAAAAGAGGGATTGCAAGAAACGATGTGACCCATTATCGTGACGGACTCTTACTTAGAACCCCTTTTTGGAAAAAATGAAAAACAAAACGCCTGCACAAGTGGTTCTAAGTGTACTACACTTAGAAACTCTAGGCATACTTAGAACTTCTAACTTAGAACCCTGAGCAGTTGGAAAAGTGCCTGCAATGGAAGGGGATTCTTAGTGTGGCACTTGGAACCACATAAATCGTGATCTAAGGAATCTAAGGAAACTAGGTCGTGTGAGCACGGCACATGGACCAGGGTATGCTCAAAAAAGCTGTGGCCAAAGTTTCTTGGACTTGACTGATTCGGTTTTCCCTGAGGGCCACTGGCGGGTGTCAAGTGTGATCCTCCAAACTTCTCACTGGCTGGTATTATTTTTGGGGTTCTAAGTGCCCTTGGCCTGCAATTCGGGGATGGTTCTACTGTAAGAATTTTACAGGTCCAAAGGATTCTTAGTGTGGAAATTTCATCATTTGGGAAAAATCTGGGGGTTCTAAGTATGAGTCCGTCACTATAGAACAGGGAGGGAACAGAATGCAGCGGGCAAGCTTTGAGTTGCTTGGGGGTGCCTTGCTTTTTATGGTGAAGACGCCTGTTTACCAGACGCAAAAGGGCGCCCCATATGGAGTGGGAGTTCATGTGCAGGATAGGCGTACAGGGGAGATGCGATAGGAAAAGAGGTGGGGAGCTCACCAGGGATCTCGCATCGCCCCGCATGACCATATTGATATCTTTTACGGTGGCTGGCTTTCGCACCCTCCCTTCTCAGGTGTAATCTAATGTAGTGTAACGTAATGTAATGCAATGTAATGTAATGCATGTATTAATGTAATGTATGTAATGTAATGTAATGTAATGCAATGTATGTAATGTGATGTGATGTGATGTCATGTCATGTCATGTCATGTATATAATGTTATGTATGTGTTTGTCTGTCTGTCTCTGTCTGTCTTTGTCTGTCTGTCTGTTTGCATGCGTGCATGGTATGTATGTATGTCTGAATGTATGAATGTATGTGTATATATACATATATATATATATATGTGGCACATAATATTTATATATTGCGTTTTTTCCAGCTAGCCGCTTGACGCTACACTTTTTGTTTTTTGAGGTAGAGCTCGGTGCAATCATACGCAAACGTAATGATAATATGTATGCTCTGTAGCCTGTAGTTTGACCCATGATCCTCCCCTGAGACTGGGGAATACTTTCGGTATTTGTGCAAGATCCAGGCTGGACTACAGCAGCTCGTTCGGACCCCCACCAACAGCACGAGCCCTCCCATCTGCAACTTTCCAGATGATGCTGGATACAGTGCCTTGTCCCAGCCTGACATGAACCTTTGGTGCTTTTGCGAACGAATTTTGGTGCTTTGCACGGCTTTGGGGCTTTGCATGGCTTCGCCCTCCTCCCGCAAACAGCCGCAAGGGCAATCTGGAAGTCACCGGCAATGTGCAGTGTCCAACGTCATTGGCTGCATGTTTTTGCAGCAAAACAACCTGGGGGTTGCAAGATATTGCAGGAACATACCCTTGAGACAGATAGGCTCGAAGGCTCCACTTCCTTGACTAAGCTGCTGGGCTGGCATTCAAAAATGACAGAAACTGAGGTCCACAATCCCCTGTGCGACTCGGCCAGCGAAAACAGACGGCTTGGATCGGAGAACCTCCTTCACAAAGGATGGGATGTAATTATGATAGTATGAGTATGATCTATTGATGAATGGCACCGTTGGCGGTGCCGTACCGGCTTGACCTCCTGGTTCTTCAGGCCACCCATGATTCCGTATTGTGATTGATGCGCATGTTGTACTGTACGTGCTGATGGTATCAACATGTCTCCAGTACGTTTCTTGTTTTGGCGTCCTTTTCCGTATCTGGGCCCTTCGTTCTTCATCCGCTCCTCGCGGAAAAAACACATGAAAAAAACGTGTCTCTCGTGAGGTGATCCAGCTGTGGTGGTGCAAGCGCTGAAGAGCAATTCCTCCAAATTTTTCCTCTCATCCAGGCAGCTGCGGGCCTAAAGCCATAACCCCCTGAGCCCGTGGATGTTTGGGATGTTGCAGAGCATGACTTGGCATGAAAGCTGCGTGGAATCAGTGTTGATGAATCAACTTTCGGGCAGAACCCGGAGCATTGGGTGTACCCATACACGATCATACTATGACAAGTATACAAGCAGTTCCGGTTGTTGATCATTTGCAGGCAGCTCAGACAGTTGATTGGCGTCTTTGAGCGGCCGCAGCACCGCATCGAACTGTGCGTCACACTCTTCAACCGCATCATGGACGGGATGAAAAGGGAATTTTCGCTGGGCCATGTCGGGTGCAAAAATATGAAGTCCGAAGGGTTGAAGATGAGGGCGCCCCTAGGTGTGTCGAATGTCCTCTGTTGGAATCCCAGATGGAGGTCGCTCATAGGCCCGCCTTGAGAGACATTGAAGCCTTTAAGAACCTTTAAAGAAGAATCCCAACGCAGGCGTTTTTGGTTCATTTTGACCAGTTGGCACGTTGGCTGTGACGACATTGGCATTCAGGGTGGGTGATTTGGTAAGACATGGTGGAGGCTGCGTTCATGACAATTGCGCGTGGTATGTTTGTTGACTAATTATATATAGTCCATTGGCTTGAACATTTCAGACTCACCATGATATTTTGCCATATCTAGCCTTCCCTTGACCTAACATTCGGCCCCACTGCCTCGTCGCCCTAAACCAGGACCCGGAGCACGCAAAGCTTTATCGTGGAAGGATTGGAAGCTTTGAAGACTTGCTTGTCTTCAGCCGACGCATCGGCATGGCCAGGAGTTTCCCATACATGCAGCAGCCGGGCTGCGCAGATCTTGTCACAACAACACCACCGTTTCAGCACAACGAGTCATGCCTCAGGTCCAGCAGTTCTTGGAGTCTTGGAAATGGTGGATTTCACTCACTCTAGTGTCGGGCGTATATAGCTTCACCTAGGTTTCACGAATTGGTCTTGTTTTGTTGAGTAGCTGAGTGGCACACCACCGGAAATCCCAATGTTCACCACATCGAAATGACAAAGATGTGCCCAAGCCGACTGTAAAACAAGCTTCTGGACCTGGGCCAACGAAAGGCCCAATCTGGTCGGGCCCGTGTCGACCATGTTGACAAGGCCAGAGTTCGAACAATTCCACTTCAACTTCCACTTCCATGATGAGCGCGCATGCATCTCGAACTTGCTGGCGATCTCATCTCGCGAAGATCCGGGGTATATTCGAAATCCAGTGCAGCTTGGCCAAGGTGTGTGCGTGTGTGTGTGTGTGTGTGTGTGTGTGTGTGTGTGTGTGTGGCAATAGGCAATAATAGCCTTGGGAGTGTCATTGAAAGTTTAGAAGTAGGAAACTAAGCAGCCTGAAGCAACAACGATCAATGACCTTCAAGAATATCTAAACAGAAGATTATGTTACACATATATATATTATAAATAGTCCTCACATTCCTCATGTCACAGGTATATTTTGCCTGATGGAACCATTGACCCGCTGAAGATGGGTATTCCTCGAAGCTGGGCCGCTTGGCAGAAGGCTGTTGATGCGTTGGATACCGTTGGTTCGATGAGCCGAACCTTCATGGACCTATAAGCCATGCAGATGAAGCCCCAGGCCTTGATTGGAAAATACTATAGACAAATTGATACCTACATGGCCCTTCTGAAGGCTCAAGTTTGAAAGCTTATGACTTATGAACAACGAATGTTTTGCACAACATCATCCAAAACTGAAGGCTCCTTGTGAGACTATTGACAACAAGGCGCCATGCCAAGTCTGCCAACCTGCCAACCAGGCTGTCCAAGACCTCAAAACAACAACCCATCTTGAATCATTAATTGTTTGATTGTGCTAAACTGCCAACAGCCACTTTTTTACATGCAAGCTTCGCTTCAGTTGGCTCTAAGTGCTCATGCACGAGAGTATCCATACCGATCGTGCTTCATGTGGTATATTGCATGTTTCTGCACAAACGTTGTCGTTAGTAAGTGCCTTAGTTTTTCTGATTGCTAAGCTTGCTAAGTAGCCGACTACTGTAGGAACAATTGCCGTGCTACTGAAGGTGTTGATCAAGAGCTACGGTAGATCAAGAGGTAGCTAGGCCGAATCGACTGCTATATTGGCCATAAAACCTTTGAGGAGATGCAAGACCGAGTTCCAGTGGGAGGTACATTTAAGCCGCTAAGCTGCAGATTCCTATGGTTCTTAGTCTTTGAAGAAGAAGAAGCCGGTAGAAATCCTTTCAGACTGCTGGTGCCACATCCCTCCAAGTCAAAGGTGGAAGCCAGAGGTAGTAGAAAGCAGCGGATGCAATAGGAGGCTAACAGACTCATTCATTGTTGCCGCTTGTCTCGAACAAACTGAAGAGTGTTGGGATGTGTTGGGTGCTGAAATTTGTGTTTGTGTTGAGGACTTTGGAGGGAGGATAATTCAATAGCAGAGATATTCCGGAGGAACTCACTTGGGAGGGAGAATGAGTGTTCCTTTTGTGGAAAACACCCCCCCCGCTCCATTGTTCGTGCTACTTGAGGTGCAGCTATGTGTGTGCAGCGACGCAGCGCAACTTTATGAATCGTAAGCACCTTTGCAAGACGTACCACTTTTCCGAGACTTGGCGGTCATTGGGGCTTCCTCGCTCTTCATGTGATGAGAGGCCTGGATATGGGAGGCCTGGATTTTGTGTTTGAGCAATCTTCACCACATCGCTTGTTGCCACTTGCGAAAGGACAATTACTTGGACAAGTAGTTGAGTGTAGGGTGTTTGTCCGTTCTTACCTGTGACAGTCAGGAAACATGTATCATCATTTTTGAACAAGGCTTTTACTAACCATCATCATCCACTGTTACAGTTAATAGGATAGACCCAAGTTGAGTGTACTTTTGTCAATTCAGGATTCGTCAAAACTTGATAACGCGGATATGTTTCATGTCACATCAAGGACGTGCACCAACTGGAAAAGGAAGTGGAGTGGTGGACCAATAACAGGGAGGCAGGCTTTTCAGAACAGACCTGTTCCTGTTTAGCACTCTTTTGCTGTACTGTAACTCTGTCATTTCTGGCAAGACGATTTCGGTGGTTTCAGTACCAATGCTACTACTGTAGTGGACGATCCGTGGAGTTAGCCTGTTCACCCAACTTGCTGACTTGAAGCACTTCGTTGCTTGGGAGGTTCCATCTGAAGTTATTGATTTGGCTTTGACGCTTGCCGCAGACAGTGTGCAGATTGTATGATACTGTATGTGATGTGACAAGGGGTAATGTCATCTCCCAAGTTCTACAAGCTGGCAACCCTGAAACCAACAGAACTTGCCGATCAATCACAGGATCAGAGTATTGGAAGTCTTTCCTCTCAGCTTTTCCCGTCGTGAAAAGGTACTTGAAGGAGAAGAACCTGGACCTCAAGAAAGTCTTTGATTCCTTTGATGGTGCAGATGGAAATGGTCACCGGGACCCAAGAAGACCATTGAACACCTATTTACATAAGACCGTACTTGTGACTCATTTGTGATACATCATGTACTATCATGTGCTCACATATGGACATTGAAGACACATGACAACGAGCCTTGTGTTTGGGCTGGGCAGACCTGAAAAGAAGAGAAGATGTTTTCTTGGACGGTGATGTCAGAATCAAAGCTGGCCCCAATTTCCAGCACCACTAAGGCTTGCTGAAGGCATAGTAGTTTTTGGCTCTCAGTGAAAAATATATGTGAGACCCTTTGATGCTCCACGTGATCCTCAGGTGAAGTGGGTTACATCAAGCTCATTCGAGGCTTGGAGGGCCTCAGCTGGCCAAATCCAGAGATTGAACGAAGCGAGAATGAGCTCAAGGAGAAGCGGGGTTGGGAGGAAGTGACATTCATCCACCAAGGGGCATTTGTTGTATCAAATGAATCAAATGCTTGTTGGAAACTACGGCCAAACATTGCCAAAGGAACAAAACAACAAACAACTGCCAGTGTCCGTGCCCATCCATGTTTCATGCCCACCATACATCCAACAAAATGTTTAGCAAGTTGGTTATCATACAAACACCTCTTGACACCATGTGGGGCCATATATATATATACACACACCATGCAGTTCAGAGTGTTCAGTTCTTGAAAGTTCATCAATGCGTTGGTGCATTCTCAGGAGCTCTACGTGACAGTCTTCCGCTGCCTGAATGCCAATGGTCATGGAACCATGGTGAGAGGTGACTGGACTATCCTGCAGCAAGTCACTGATGATGCCTTTCGGACTGCAATTTACAGAGCAGCTCCAGTCAATCAAGGAGACCCAAAGGAGACAATGGATTCTGAAGCACGTTTCGATCGAACAATCCAGTGAAATCCTACATTTCAATGATCAGTAACAGAGTTATGTCAGCCTTTTTTCAGTCGTGCTTTACGATGGGTTAATTTGCAGGAGCCATGTCATGTAGAATGGAGATGTATAGATTTGTGTTGTGTTTGTGTTTTAGGATGGATTGTTTTGCAGGAGCCATGTCATGTAGCATGGATTTGGGTTTGTGTATGCCGGCCGGCTTTGATTACCGCAGATCCAGCAGACCATCGGAGAATGCTTGTTTCTTGGCAGAGCATGCGGGAGGGCTGGGTTAATGATGAGAGTGAAGAGAAGACCATCAATCATTGGACCCAATTATACTCAATTCTTTCAACTGAACTTCATGAATCCTAATTAGTTATTAGACCCCGTGTGGCCTGTGGCCCCCGCTGCTGTGAGGTGGTTGTTTTTCGTTCTGACATCAGCAGTTGCTTGTACACCTTAGGCAATACCTGCTCAGAATCAGCGATGGCTCCTGGAACAACATGTGGAAAAAGCTGGACAGTCTATACTTGCCCGCGTAGCAAATGAATACGTATACAATGCCGCAACAGTATTTTGCCATGAGTTTGGAGGCCATCGCTATTAGGTTGGAGGCCGTAGCTTTTAGGTTGGCATTGGGTCAGCAGAGATCAGGACAAAAGGTGCGGTTTTGTTCTCCGATGACGGCGCACGCGCCGCATGTTTGTCGAGCACCGTCTCCAGGACGTTGAAGGCCTGGGAAGCCTCAACAGACGCTTGGCCTCGACCAATTGAGCTTCCAAGATGAATGCCGGGGAGCTTGCCAGCGAAAGCCACACCAAGAGGTTGTTATGCAAGAGCGTTTGGTGGGAGATGCGTTTCCAACTGCTTTAGCCTTTAGAAGGTGAAGTTTTCCTTTTGTCCCTGGCCCGAGCAACCTCCGGTGGGCTATTCTTGGCCAGACCAGCTGGGCTGGTTTGGGATCAAAAAGGCATTTGTGAAAACACTTACTGCACTTGCAGCATGATTGGAACATAGATGATAAGTGATAATAGTTATATAATTACTACAAAATGCCACACAGCTAGCTTGGTAGGTCTTCAATTGGTTAGCGCGACCTTTTCTCAAGAGTTTTCTTTCAAAGAGGTGCTCCAGATATAGCATCTAATTGTGCAAAGACATGTTGCACCCTTTTCCGTGTTGGACATTCGCACCGTGTTCACAATTTAGCAAACGATAGTAAACGTCAGTGGTCTCCAAGCAATATACCACATAGTGTACATAGAAAATGTTCTAACAACAAATGTTCAAATGCTAGTTTTGCTTTTGTTGCCTCAGGAGAAGCATGGCTGCGGGCTGTGGAACGACTTTGAGCCTCGGCATAGCAAACCTGGCTAGTTCTCATGACTGGTTTGCCCGATCGGTGGAGTGACAGCTAGTGTGAACATGAAGCCCTGAGCCTGAGCCTGCGTGTTTGTCGCGCATGATGCTGTTCAAGAATGGAGGCATCTGCAGCAAAACACAACCTCCTGCATGTGTCAACATGGCCGGCCTCCGGCCACAGCTGAGGCTATTTTGGGCCCAGCGAACTTGTCTTTCGTGCTGCGAGGAAGGAAGGTAACATCACGAAAGAGTCATTGCGCGCCTTGTTTTGCAAAGCTTCGGCCGCAGGCAGTCCCTTTGATTGTATCCCATGATCCCTCTAAGGTAGAAGGAAAACAGCTCCACTTGTGGGAACACCTTGGAACTTGGAAAATCGGACTGTCATCAAGAGGGTTCTTTGCTCAAAAGTGTGCATCCTTGTACTTGAGATTTGGACGAGGCTCATTGGAACCAATTCTCCAAAAAGTTGCTGATGCAGAGTGATCCAATCTTCGCTACGTGCCAGGCTGTTGACGACGTTTTACTCCTTTATTCTGCAGAGGATCTCCTTGTTCTGGTGTTGTTCCACGCCTTTTGGTTCCCTTATCAACGAAGAGTCCCTGGATTGAGCGGTTGTTTTGAACATTATACATGTGACATCCCAGTTCAGAAATGAACATCATGGGTCATGGGATAGGGATCATGATCATTGTTCTCTGTCGGGAGATCCCAGTTGGGGCTATCAAGCAGACATCGAACACAAGATTCAAAGTCGATGCATTCTTTTTTTGGCCCATGCCAAGCATGGTCCCGTCTCACGAAATTGGACGGTGCGGACCCGCATCCGCGTGGAGTGTTTCAAAACAGCAGGCTTGCGGTTTTGCAGGTGCAAGTGCTCACAGCACGGCATGGATGATGGTATTGTACTTGGTGGTACTATTCTGGCCCGGTGGTACTGCATATATGGCAATGTCGGCATGCAGTCGCACTTCAGATGTTGGGTCACTTTGCATCAGCTACTTCCGACATTATGAGACAAAGGTGGCTTGCATGGTTAGTCGACCAGTCCGACGAATGGGTTGCATCCGTTGTGCCTTTAGGCTGTACTGTTGAGTGTATTAGCCTCTTCCTCCATGCGTTCCACAGGCCCCATTCTCTAAAGCGGAGTTGGACGAAGTTTGTGCAGTCCTCGGAGGGCAAGCTAGGCAGCTAGTCGAATGCTAGATACAGGTCACGCAGCAAGGAGCAACAGACAGCACATCAGCATCAAGTTTGACGTGTGTATTGCAATGTAGTGCCTTGCCTTATGTCGCTTTATGTGCACGATGTTACTTTTGATCCTCCTTCTCATCCTTTTCGCATTGGGGTCAGGTTGCTTGGGTTTGACGGCTCTTGTGTGTGTGTGTGTGCCTAGTCAGTGCTATCAGATCTCGAGGTGATGCCACTTTCATGTGTAACGGTGTAAGTTGGAAGCTTTGTGTTTGCTGCCTGCATCTTGTTGTGCACCCCGTCCAGAATGGAGCGCTATCTAGTGTGCAGCTCTTTTGATAGCATTAAAGCCGGCCGCACCAGGGAATGACATGCAGTGCAAATGGCTTGTGCTGGCTGAGGCAACGGATTACTGTAGTATTTATATATATATATGTGTGTGTGTGTTTATCTCATAAATTATGAATCACTCAGTATCATCTATGTATCACTCAGTGCATATCATCTATGATACACACAGTATATATATATGTATACTGTGTGTATCGTGATGTATCACTCAGTCGCGTCAGACTTTGTAGGGGGTGCCGTTCCTAATGCCTAATCATGATTGAAGATGGACGCATTTCATCCAAGGGAGGGTTCCAACTTGAAGTATTCTGTGGCTTGAGGTGCTGAGATACAGCGCTTGGATGATGATGAACACATCCCAGGCCAACACATCTGGGGACGGATCACTAACACCATGTAGCTTGACCGTATCGCCGGTAGGTCAACTAAGGTATTTTATTTTAACCCACATCCACCTAACCATTGGTGGAGATTGGGCTGCTCTGAGCATCCTCCCAAACTCAGCCCGACTCCTGCCGTCCCGGCCGGACATTCTGTGCGGCGTTGTGACATCATGTACACATCGGACCAGAGCAGGACGACTATTTTGTTGTATCATTCAATGGTTTCCTATCTCAGGAATCAACGACCGATGGGGCTTCATGACGCGGGTGTGAGCCTCAAAGCGTGTGGCATCTGACAGTATCCAAGAAGTCGGTGCTTAGCATCACTCAAATTTATTGCAGCATGGCAGTAGCAAAGCAAGGAGGATGGCAAGACTCCAAGCTGGTGATGCCCCCTTCAATTGTCCAGAAATCAGTCCGTGCTTACTAGTCCCACCTAGGATATCATACTAGTCCGCGTTTAAGCTTTGTTCATGGCCTCAGGTAGGGCTGCACGAAAAGTCCCACCTCTTCCGTCAGGACAGGGGTGGCGAATGGCTGATACCGCTTTCTTCGTTCATCAAACATAGACGGGAGATGACAGGAGTGTTTGAAATAAAACAGAATTGCACTCTGGGTTTGGGGTGTCCAGTCCAGACACTAGTGCATCGCAGATCCAGGTGGAGAAATATGCCGACATCTACACTTCACGAGTGCTGGGGCCAAAGTCAGTGTTAAAGAGCAAAGCTTGGACTTACCGCATGCCTTGACCACATGCAACGAAGACTACACTGCGCCGCCTTTTGTCGGCCCTGTGTATGCTCTGGCTTTGACCCTGTCCGTAGAATTCGATTTCCATTGACATGATGTCCGCGAGGTCCAATTTGTTACCCTACACCCCCTTCAACATTTTCCGACCGCCACTGCAGCTCGGAAGCCCGGAGGAAGCAAGGACACCCGTGCCGGAAAGAACTTAAAATAACTCAAAATTGCAATACTAATATCCATAAGAATAAATACCATCAAAAATCCTATATTTGCCCACACCCATTTTCACCAAACCCGTCTTGTGGATTGCTGTGATTGCAGAGGGCCCAGCCCTCCCCGCCCCGCAGCCTTTCCGCTGTTTGGAACCTCGCGCCGGTCGAAGCGGGACACCCATGGACCTGTTTCGACCGACGGGTTTGGCCAAGGTCGGATAGGAACTTTTTAGATACTGGCAGCGAGCAGGCAAGGAAGAGCGGCAGAGCATGGGAGCACCTCTTTGGAATGGCTTGTAGTTGACATCCTTGGTGAAGAAAACAAGTCGCAGGTGGTCGCAGTAGGATCGACGTAGTATGAGAATGTTTATGTTTCATAATGCATTTCAAGGCTTCATGTCACCACATCTCATGGGAATCATGCTTGCTCCACGGCTTGTGCTGAGAGGAGTGATTGATAGTTTCTATGCACTGTTCTTGCTGTTGTGAAGGCCTTTTCAGACTACATGTGTGAGCTGGTGGAATCCCAGGGCAGCAAGGCCTGGTGGGCACACCAGGAGTGGGTGAACATTGGAAGAAGTTTCATCCCAAAACCTGGCTCTGGTCGGTTGGACGTGGCGCCAACAAACGGCGCGTCCGTCTCTGGCAGGCCTTCGACGAAGCCCCGGCGGAGACAGCGCCCACCATTTGGGGCAGCTCCGGGCATTTGACGTTCGCAGACTTAGTCCGACATGCGCGAGCATCACGTTTGGTTCTTAGAACATGGTACCTACTGTATACAAATGTTACAATTAAACATAGGCTCCGCTCTTTTCTTTCTGGTTTCACTGCACAGGTGAAACGAGGCGTTTGACAAAAACATCGACGCCAGCGTCCATTGAGTGTCAGCCCTCCAGTCTCCCGAGGAAGGAGCATGTGGAGCTCGCCTCACGAGAAGTTGAGCAGACCGGGACCACAGTGGCCTTGCGACGTCACCCGTGTTCCACCGGAACTGCGACCAGTTTCCGGTGACGCAGCTGGGAGGGTCAGAGGGAGCCATCCGAACCAGGGGACCAGACCAGAATCTTGATTTGGCAGCACACGATTGGTTGTGGGGTGATGTAACCGGCCTGTTTCTTTTGAGATTGTCATGGCTGAGATCTGTCAATACTTTCAACGCAAGGGTGGTCCATCATCCCGCTGTGAAGAGTGTATACTTCGAGTATCTTTGAGCAGTCATTCTTGGTCAGGAATGTTGCATGACCAGGGGACTTCCGGAGAGCTACATCAACACCGGGTTCTTATGTCTTTCTCGAAGGGTTTTCACACCGAAGGCACCACTGGAAGGCAGAACGACTGGAGCCGGACTACTTCGGGGCCTCGCGGCAGCCTCAGTGGTGGCCTGGCTGTGCCTGGCCTGGTAGGCCACAAACTCTACAAACTGGCGGGCCGGGGTGAAACAGTCAGTTAATTTTTTTGGGGGGTGACTGACTTGCATGAATTCAATGAATGGTCAAATAGTCGTCTGAAAATGTCAACGCTTTGTGAGAATACCTATACTGACTTACTGACTGGTTTGACTTTATAATTGGCATGCTCACGTGTGCCCAAACATAGAATGGTTGCTCCTAGTCCTATAGTAAGCCTGCTTGAAGCTTTAACACTTGATTGCTGGCGGGCGTTCAGAACAGGAAGCTCAGGTTGAAATAAGTGTGCATTTTTTGCTCAGGCACTTCATTTGTATCATAGGAAGCTGGACCACTAAACAGCCAAAAGCCATCGAACACCGCCTGCTTAGCAGCTTGGATCAGGCCTCAGCCGCCCTGACCGGTCGAAGAGCTAATGGTGGTGCAACCGACTTGACTGCCCAGCAAGTATAGAGAAGGACGTGGAAATAATTGAAAGCATGCCGACATGCTTGTCAGTTTCAGGGTTTTGTTGTTGGTGATTTTTGATGTTTGGACTTCAGTACTTGCTTGAGGGTGTAATTCGCCTCAGCTGGCGGCAGATGATTCGCCTCAATCAGCCATATTCCACTAGGCTGAAAATCTCAACATGGGCGTTTGCCACGATTCAACCAGACAGCCACTGCTTAGAGGACGACGTGGAACACTATTTTGTTCAATGGTGATTGGTTTGGGTATAGCAGTGGCCGAGGAAGGACTCCTGGCACTCGAGACGCACTGATTTAAAATGATTTTACAAGACCACATAAGACCTTTGGTCTTGGCATACCAGAGCTGCTCCAACTGCCAGGGAAAAGACATCAGTGCTATCACCCCTCACAGGCTGCTCTAAAATATGGCTTTGGACTCTGAAATGGTATAAATGTCGAAGAATAATCCATCCAAGTGGGTCTCAAACAAATGCCAGTCAAAGCCACGATGTGGGACCGGGAAGTAGCTTCGCAGGATTTGAGTGGTCATGACAAGTGTGCAGAGGTCAATCTTTGTTCTTGAAAGGTTTACGCCACGCAAGCCAGAGAGAGGCGGCACGGGAACTGTGTGCTCAGCATACACTGAAAGTTGGTTTCTACCAGCACTGGGCTTCTGTGGAAAAGTTGGGGGATTGTGAGTACCATACAATTATTGTCCATCACTGTCTTCAATATGTTATTTAAACCGTATGTTCCATACAAGGCCTTCATATGTTTGGGTGTCGTTTGCGACGGATGTTTGGATCATCAACCGCATTGGCTCGGACAGCGCCCTAATATGGCTTGGCGCGAGGACTACAAACCGGATGGTGAAAAAGTGACTTAGCCGAATTGGATTGTTTATCACTGGCGGACAAGGGTTGTAGTTAAGACATGTTAAGACCATTGGCTCGGTAGTCAGTGTCAATGCCCTTGGTCCAAAACCGCTGGATCCCAACCCGGTTAGGAAGATCCACGATGCGAGGAATCCAAACTCGATTGGTCAAGATTCCGGTCTCCCAACCTGCGCGTGGTAAAACTTGAGCATTCACTGGTTTGAGGCACAACGTGAGGGATCGGCAGCCCGCACTTGTTTAATTTGAATGTCCTCTTCGTTTGGCTTCCACGGCTGCTGACGCAAGTACTTCTTTGCTGATCATTTTAGCTAAGACACACCCAGCCGCCCCGGAAACCAGAAAAGGTTGACCACGAGAAGGGATGGTCTTTGGACTGTTGCAGACGGGATCCCGAACACCACTAACTCTACCTACCGCAACTGGTTCAACTCCAGATATGAATCTGTATGTATACATTCCGAAGCTGTTTTGACTGAGCATCCCGTGCTTTGTGGGGGAATACTAGGAAGGAACTTAATAGAGGTAATTTTACCCATTGCATTATACCCAAGCGACAATCCCGCTGATCTGAGGTTGGCAACAATCCGGATGCTGCACAGAGAAGGTTAGAGAGGCTCTATCAGCTGTTAAGAGCGGAGGTGCGGAACGCAGTTGGTTCCAGGAATGCAGACCGTTCAGAAACCCACCCAAACGCGGTCAGCTTCCAGTCTGGGGGCACAATTCCATCAGATTCTCTCGACCTGGGAGGGGGGGCCGCCTCCAACCCGAACAGGGCCAAACTGTCAGGACGGCATGAGCCTGCGGCTGCAGCCTCCAAAGCCTCTGGGTGGCTCCATCATTCGACAACAGCTGGCACAGCTCACCAGCAGGACTGAACAGCTTGAGCTGGAGATGCTTAGATGATCTCAGATGAATTCAGGTCCGGCGAAGATCCTGAAAATCTTGAACCTACAATGTAGAGACAAGCTTGTACAGGCATCTGGACCTTGTAAATTCGAGTTGCAGTTGCAAGTCGCAGTGGTTGTCGCTTGTGGTATGTGTTGGACAAAACGGTGGCTACCAGAGAGGACTGCTGTTCAATGACTTTCCCCTACCAGGGTCTCAATTCTGGAGACGTCCTTCTTCTGCAACCCTGAAAGCAGAAGAGGTCGTCTCCTGACGCTGTCACCATCATTGAGTAGACACATATGCAGGAGGTGGATTGCAATCGCGAAAGAACTGCAGTCATTTGAGAATTGCCCACCTGCGATTTGAAATCTAAGGCCACAGCGTTGACGATGCATAAAGGATTAAAGATAATCAAAAGGGTCAGACATTTGACATCATTCGATGCTTAGGAAGCAAAAGCTGCGTGGCATCAATAGCGACGATCCTGAGAATTCAAATGCCTCTTGGCAAGCCGTTTAGGATGACACGACCGGTCAAGCCAATGATGGACAAACAGGTTCATCGACAAAAGAAGACCTACGACGACCGTTGAGCTGTTTATCCGCCTTAGAAGCCTTAGAACTGACCTGAGTTACCTTCGTGTCTCAGCCCACTTCGCGACAAGGCCGCACTTCAGCAGCACATCCGTGACATGCTCCTGGAGCAGCGGCGCTTGGTGGAAGAACTGCAGCGAGAGATCGCGCAGGAGTGACGCGAAGAGACTGGTGGCTCAGTGTGAATACCAAAATCAATTTAGGGAGCTACCAAGTCCCAGCTGAGCAACAAATAATATCAAAGAACATGCAATTACAACTGAGGAGCAACCAAGGTGTGTGTTTTTGATGAGCTTCATCCAGCGGTCTGAAAATGGGAGGACCGACCAAAGAACTGAGTAGGACGAGTCGATGATCTACTGGTTGGGCCCTCTCCTTATTTGGAGGCAGACCCATTTAAGGATCAAACATGGTCAAACACCGCCCAATGGCTGTTCAACAGCCTTCAGCCAACAACTGAACTCACTCGAGAGGGCCATGAAGAAAGAGAGAGAGAGAGGTATATATGTATAGTTATATATATATATTTAACAAAGAGCAGGTTTTCGTGTTGATAGACAATATCCGTGTATCATTTAGGCATGTTTAGGCAATATCAGGTTTCCTTTTGTTATTTTTGTTTGGGGGGATGCCTACTTCAAAACCCAGATTCCCCGCATCTCTTGGAGATTGTTTCACATCCGTCACCTTCAGGAGATCGCCCAAGCAAAGCTGCCTCCGCACCTGGACTTGGTGGAAACAACGTGGATTTGGGTCAATGGAAGGTTGCTGAACATGTAGAGATGTTGCAGATGCATCTATAAGTTTTCTATGCACTTGCATATGCGTTTGCCAATCGGAGCAGAGATCGGGTTTATTCTGCGTGGAACCACGCACACACTTTAAAAGAAGCTACTGGCGATGGCCTCCAGTCTAGTGGCGATGGCCTCCAGCCTAGTAACCTAGTAGCGATGGCCTCCAGCCTAGTAGTTATGGTTGTTTGTCGGGCGCACTGGCTGGTACCACTTCAGCATTTGCTTCGCTTGAGGCCGCAGGCATCGCCCAGACTTGCTCCGAGGGAGATGGGCATCCATGCGCTGCTTGGATTGAAGGTCGGTTGGGAAAACACAGTTCGCCGTGGGAAAGGCACATCCTGCCCTGGCCTCCTTGCGTGGGGGGCGCCCTGTGTTTAGCAGACCTCAGAAGCCTTTTGCTGATGATGATGACTTCATGTGGCTTCCGACCCAAGGCATCGCAACTAAAAGAGCACCTGACAAGTCCTGCATGAGTGTTCGTGCAATGCAGAGGTTGCTTTCAGTCTTGCAACGACTGGGTGCTACGAAGCTCGTGTTTAGTCTATACCATACGGCAGCGGAGTCCATGATGCTTTTGAATACTAGGACTGCTTCCTAGATTGGGTGTACCAGTCATTTGGGCCAGCATCAATCCGAAGGGATTCACCATCACCACGACCATGTTTGTGTGTAAGCCGTTGTGAGGCGAGGTGCCTGCGGAGCAAGACCCTGCTCAAGTATTGTCACACAAAAGCAAGGTAGTTGCTGCATACCTTCAAATCGATGTGATGACCCCAACAGAGGATTGACAGACTGACAACAAGAGGTTCACAACTCCATCAAGCAGTGATTGATAACCATCTCCAAGTGCAAGTCAAGTATTGAAAGGACAAGTCAGTGGGTGGCAGGAAATTCTTGCTGAATCTACATTCCCCAAAAAGTATTTCAAAATGAGTATCACAACGTATCACAGTGCACTTGTGTTTCTCGACCATGCTCGGAACTTGCCTTGCTCCCAGTGTCTTGTGCATTCTGCGAGGCCTCACCCAGAGGAGCTCGACTCCCCTCGCTTGGCGCCGCAGGAAGATAGCATGCCGGGACGCTCATGCTTCTATGGAAGTGATTGTAAAGATTGTTGATCGAGTATTAATGTTCACCCATTGACTGGGGGCCTTTTCTTGAGGCAAGCGCAGGGAGAACCATTGGAGGATTCTTCTCGAAGTCTTACAGCCAAGGGGCCCAGGGGCACCCAAAGCGGACCATGTGCCTGTCGTGGCCGTAGCCTGGACTGAGGCCATTCAACCAAACCTTCACCGTGCAGCATTCATCCACGCCGGTGATGTTTGAACCACCCCGACCAGCCTACACAGAAACTGCCCGCGGATTAGGGCCATGTACTCAGACTGTGGATGTCCTGCCACCATTTGCTGTGTTGCTTTGCTTTGATTGATTCTGTTCTGTTCTGTTCTCCTATCCCAAGTCGGGCGAGCGAAGTCCCTTGGACTGGCTCACGCCACCACACCTCGCTTGAGGTCGGGCCAGCGGGAAGGATCGTCAAAGTGGAACCTGTGCTTGCAATGAGCGAGTCATCAATTTTGGCAAACTCGGCAAACCAAGTAAATCAATGAAATCAACGCACACAATGAAATTAAGGGTATATGAACGCAATGAAATCGACTGGCATCTCGAGTTCAAGAACAGCTTGGAACTTTTTTGAAGCCTGGTTCGCTTAGGCAGCCTTCGGTTTTGGTGTCCAAGTCGGCATCTCCAATTGCTCAGAGTCCGCATCTGTGCTGAGTTTGATCGGGTGGATGTCATGGGAGAGTAGAGAGAGAGAGAGAGAGAGAGAAAGAGAGAGAGAGAGAGACAGAGAGAGACACACACACAGGGGTGGAGAAGGGAATCGCATAATCAGTTACATGACTTATGACTTATGACTATTATGACTATGGGTTCCTGGACCAGATTGATTGCCCCTCTCTGCTCCATATCCATTATCCAAACAGATCATGTCAGATCATGAGATCTCGTGTTCGCTTACCCAAGGTCGGGGGATTTGCCAGAGCTCCGTGTGGATGCTATTGATTTCAAACTGCTCCTTGGTCCAAGCGGATCCGTTTGGCACAACTTAATATGGTACAAGAGCTCATGGTGTGTTTTCTATTTTTGTTAATACCTGTCCAGGTCACAATATTAGAATAACCAACCACTGGGCTTCAGTTCGTAGTCTTCTTTCTGTTTCTTTAGGGTGTCCCTACTGCAATACACCCAAATTGTCATATGAAACCTTGGACGTTCGTTTCTCCCGGCCATGAAGGCGCCACCTAGTTTTGCTGCTTGATTGTTGAGCAATCCCGATGTTACAAGGGGATGCAAGACGAAGAGGATGATTTCCGTATCAAGCTTGACCGAATCAAAACTGGTTGGCGCCCCCCAACTCCAGCGGACCTACCTCCAGATCATGCCAATTGCAATTGTGCAGAAATTTCCTAAACTTGTTTGTTGAAAGAGCTCTTCTGAATGTAGGCCTTCAATTTGGCTTGGGAGCATAATGCATGGCATTGTTTACACACGCATGCTATGTCATCTCAACCATGGACGAAGGCAACCAACTCAGCCTCCCTTAAACAGTTGGACTATGAAATTGCAAGCCTAAGGTGCAGAATCACTGCAAGTGAAGCCCATAGACTTGAAAATAGTTAGACATTTGAGAGATTCCAGAATATGCAGTGATTCTGCGCCTACTGCAGTGATTCTACACATTGGGCTCGCAATCACTGCACAAGCTTGAATGTACTTGTATATCTCAATTCTAGTCACTAGTCTCAATTCTACTGTGGCCCACGGCAAGTGCATAAACGGTTTGAAGTGGACTTTCTTTGATACGGATATAATTAATGCCCGAAGGACCGAGGGATATATATATATATATATAGAGATGACCGTTCGGAGGGAGGCTTAGGAATAGCAAGATGCGAGCAAGGAAGATATTTGCATGAATCAACAACGACTCGGATACGCAAAAGCATTTTCATACGAGGAGGATGCTTTTCTAGTAAAGGTGAGGGCACCGGTGGATTGAAATCAGACTTTGTTTACAAAGGGCAAGCTTTGTATTATATGTATGAAAAGGAACATGAACATTTGCATTGAGAAAGGACGATATGCTTATAGACGAGCAGCCGCGTATGCTTTAAAGAAACCATTCTTGGAAGCAGGACTTTTCTCCACACTATAGCTCTGGTCAGAACACTCAAAAGGTAGATTTGGTTGCATATATGCATACAACACAGGGAGGGAGAGAGAGAGAGAGAGAGAGAGCGCGAGAGAGCGAGAGTTGATGAATGTGAACAGAGACGTTTTCAAGTAATCATTGCAATCCCTTTTGACATGCCTATGGCCACCGGAAAACTGCCAATGGCGGTGGGTGGGGACGTCTTATGATGTCTTATGCACGTGTGTATATATATATATACACATCCGTACACCTATGGTCTAGCATCTCAGACTGCACGGGAATGGGCTTTGGAGGGACTCTCGGAGTCTCAGAGCCCCATCGGAAGAGCTCTTGCTGCGTCCTTGGCAGATGACCACAATGCCACCAGAGCAAAATTAGATTGCTTTCCATGTAAAAATGCAGTTCAATGATGTTAACGTATACATGCTGAGCTCTTAGTCATAGTCCTAGCATAGGTTTGATCATAGGGCTGCAAGGTGGGGGTAGTGCAGCGCGGAACACTCATGCATCAGCACACTTGACTACCCGCTATAATGTTTTTTTGCAATTGCAGCTACGTGTGCGGGAGGAATTCGTGGTTGCGGTCCTGTTTGGTTGCGGTTCGCATGCGGCTGGCTGATTGCAGCTACCTTAATACAGCTCACCATCGCCACCTCATTTGATCAAAACACAGATCATTTTCACTTAGCACTGTGAACCAGAAATCTTTCATCCACACATTAATTTAACGACGCTTTTATTTATATACAGTACTTCCTTTGTTGGGCATTGCTCCAACAATCTATGGTCTCCTCGCTGCCCGTGTAAAATCTGGATGTCCAGGGTGAACCACTGTACGAGTTTGCGAACCGGTTGCATCCCTTCTGAAGGCAGGATGGCTGAGCTGGTGTTGAAACGGGTAAGTCATGGCAACGAGGTTGTTATTTGTGCATATTTTGTGCAAAGGCCGGACTCTCAGTACTGCCAGACGACGCCCTAAAGAGCGGAGATCTCTCACGGTTCGGTACGGTGAGCTCACAGGCACAGCATGATAAGTAGATCTGACATCGTGTGACCCCTTCCGCCCCTGAATCTGAGCACCCGCGAAACGAACCTGAGGAAACCCTACGACTTCGAGCTACGCCGGCGCGCGTGGCGCTCTCCGCCTTCCGCAGCGCCGGAACAACGCACTGAACTACCCCATGCTCCGCAAGAGGTCGAGGGAAACGAGCCATTTGGATCCATTTAGGAATTTGGCCATAGTAACAAGAAGCTACTAGTAACAAGTGCATTGCTACTAGCAACAAGGGCATTACTACTAGCAACAAGAAGCTAGCATGTAGTAAGCAGAACATCCCATCAAGTCACAATTTGATACTTCTTGCAATGTGACATGTCAATACGGACAATCTATATTATACAGAGAGACTGCTGCATTTTGTTGATGTCCTACTGATATGGAACCTACGTACATGATAGTGCAGTTTCAGTTCACATTAGTTCACCAGAGGCCCTAATCCAACCTCCAAAAATGACCTTCGAAGCAGCGGCTAGCGGCTAGTGTATTGTAATGCCGGACACAAGCTACCCGGACTTTCAGTTGATACCCAGAATTGGGGTGCGATATTTGCACGAATTCCCGAACAACAAACAGAAAGAACGAATTGCAAGTGCTCACATGCCAAAAATGTATCACTTGAAGTTCTTTGTCACCTCTACTCCCGTCCCCCGCCCTTCACATCACAGCAGGAAAAAGTCACCCCCGCGCTTCAAATATGCACAGGGAAAGAGAGCAAAGGTTCCAAACATATGTCAATTGTTTGTGCATGCTTCAAAAGTACTGACGGCAAGTTCGCCCGAACGTGTGTTTCATGGATGCGCCCATGCATACAACATGTAGGGTAGTCGTTGAAGAAGTGCCTGCCACGCCTGCAGCATGCACACGTCTCACATCATCGACAACCCTTAAACCAATCCAACGAGCTTGGGTTTGGGCAACGCGGCAGACAGTGCTGAATCAGGGCAAGCTTATTGTGGAATATATCCAAACCAATCCAAGCCTGTTTGCCTCACCTCGATGTATTTGACTAACTCAGCTCAAGTGCATCAGGTGTGCTATGAAATCTCGTGTGCTGAGCGCGTCATGTTTCAGTTTAGGCACCATGCATTTGCAATCTCTTCTGTGAAAGCTTCGTAGCTTATATAATTCTCAGATTGGTGCGTTTATATTGTGCGGATATAGCCGCGGCTGGGCAACCCACACTGCATAGACTTGTGCTTAATTGACTTCGTTCACAGGAAGTAGCCACGTCAGTACCGTTTGGCACATCGGGGCGTGGGGCTGCTGAGGCCCGAACTGGAGTCTCCTCGGCTAGCCCCGCCGGAGGAGAGCATGCCACGCGTGCGGTGTACTGGCAGGCAGTGTTTCGCGCAGGGGCAGTTCGAGGGGCAGAATCAGAAGGTGTTCCTAAAATAGGTTCCAGGAGAAATCATAGGGGCTTGTTGAAGCTTGGACCCAATTGGCCTATGCTCCAAAAAGACCCGAAAAAAATTGTCAGAGACAGAGAGAGAGAGAGATACCCCACCGTTCCTTTACCACTGAATAAGTGGCAGAACAGTTCAACTGTGTTCAACTCCAATAATACCCTCGAGGGAAAGTTCAAAAGGACGCACAAACAGCTGCAGTGGATGTTGACAGCAACTGGACCAGGGCCATACTCTAAACCATTCTAAACCTGATCTGTCCTTCCTGCTCTCAACTGGTTCAGTTTGGGGCAGAAAGGGTGGATTCAGAAAGGGCTTTTGGGCATACTGCGCACCAAAACAGTCGAGAAGAGCGCGCCATCATGCGCCATCAACAGCGCCCGCAGTGGTACCAGAAATGAGTCGAGTCCTTGACAGTCCTGCGCTCGCAGCGATCCATTTGCGGCACTGGGGCCAAAGGGTCTTGGAGCCGATTGACCACACAGAAAATGGAAGCCCCTAACAGCCCTAACAACCCACCCACCTCACAAGAACTCTTAACAGTTCTTTGACACATCAAAAGCATATGCATCGTCCGGAAAGTTGGCAACCCCCACGACTCAACTATTTTATCACCTCACCAGAGGGCGTGTACTTGTGGAAGCCACGCAAGGCTTGACTCGCACTGCAGGTAGACAAACGGACTTGCACATCCGTTTTGCACAGCTTTGGGGTTCTTAGACACTTATGATTAATGATAAGTTATACAGGAGGTAGGATATTACAGCAAACCCACAATGAGCCCCTGAAGCAATAAATTTGGACTCAACAGGTGTTGTTTGATGCTCTTTGCCTTGCCTCCTTCAGTGGATAGCGAGGCTCATGCAAAGAGAGTAGGACGCGCACACTCTTTTTCATCCAGCCGTGCTTGCCAAGGAAGCGGTACGACTCTGGACTGCCAGCAGGGGGCTCCCCGTCTTCGGCTAAGTTTGTCGCAGAAGACAGCTCGGAACCTCCCCATGCACCTCTGGAGGAACCTGCAGCAAGGTCACTTGGCCCCTGACATGCGAAGGAGATGGGCGTGAAGACTGATGTTCGCGTTGTTTTGTTTGCACATGATCAACTTATATATATTTGGAACCAGCCGAGATACCTTTGAAAACATATTACCCCAAACAGCACGCAGTAGCACAAGGTAGCGCACTAAACTAGCAGAGTCTGACGTGTGAGTTGGCATAGCATGTCAAATAATGACCGGCGTTGTATAATGGGCATGTTTTCCAGCAGCACGATTG